AACTTTTTAAAGTATGAGGACTAAAAAAGATTTTCTGTTAAAATATAGGGACTCAATTTTAAGTTTAATCTTCCCATATTGTAGACCTTTTCAATATAATTTTTTGGGCCGAAGAAGACGTTTTTCTTCTTCGTCCCATTGCGTGTTGCCTGTTGAGTCAATCCAAGAGATCGAGCTCAGCATAGCAAACGAAACCGGAGGACTGGTGGAGCTGGCGAGCCGCGCAGGGCAAAAAAGTCTAACACGTAATTGCTCAAAAAATTGCCCTTCAAATCTTTTTCCTTTACTTTTCTTTAGTGCTTTTGACGCAATCCCCACCACATCCAAGATTGTAGTGCTGTTTAAACATGAACCGAGCTTTTAGTGCGACTTTAGGCAAATTTAGGGACCCACCGAATTGGATCACCTAGGCGATTAGTACGCCGGAATCCCTACCACGGCTACACCTTATCGCCCATTTCCTAGAAAGGAGAGTGTTAATGCAATGACCATCCGGCCCATGCTTATTTTTCGAAATTCAATTCTACTCACTCCATTTTAATTTTCTTCACACAATTTCATTTTGTGCACATACTTATTTTTATGTAATATATAAACGATGATTTAAGTTATTTTATATAATTTCCGTTAAATAATTTTTCTATATAATATAAATATTTTATTAATTATTACTATTTTATAAGCTACATATATATTTAAAAAATACGTGACAGATCATCAGTATTTGTGAAGACTGACCCCGCGCCCTAACTGAGAAAAGACAAGATGGAAGAAAATGTACGCAAATTCTACCTTCATCAATGGGGACAGAACTGGCTAACGGCTTCCTTGATATCGCGGGCTGGACTTTTACCTATCCTAAGAGAAAACAAAGACAAATTATCAATTATGTAATTTAATAGTAAAATTATTTATGTTTTTAATTATATATTTAAATTTTAATTTTTATATAGCAAAAAAATATTTTTATTATAAAGAATTTGATTAAATTAATATTTATTAATTTAAAATTTTTAATTTAGTGTCAAAGTCAAAATTAAAATTTTTGTATTGTCAAATATTTAATTTTTTTAATGTACAAGAAAATAAAAAGACAAAGCCATGAAATTGAAAAGTTTTTCCCCAATATGGGTATAAAGGCCTTTACTTTTAAGAAAACAGTAACTTTATGCGAGTGAAATCTGTAAGGATTCCGATTTCAAGCTCATTGATGGGCAAGCAAGAATATAATCCAGAGGGACATGGAAATTCCAGAGTCCCCACATTTTATAGAAAGAAGAGTGTGAATGACTGAATGCGATGACCTGACGTGAGCTTTCTTTACCAAATTTAAATGTCTTACCATCATTAGCAAAAATTAAACGTACAGGTAGTAGATGGAACACGGAAATTCCAGCTTCATTGATAGGGCAGGACTGGTTTCCTGACGCATCCAAGAAATAGGAAAACAAAGCTATAAAGTCATGAAAGAAGGCCATGGACCGCAGGGAAGCAAGCTTGGGAAGACTAGTTATCCCATCACCCAAAATTCATTGTTTGATCAGGTAAATGCGCACTTTATTTTTAAGATAACATGAACTTTCTTCAAGTGAAATCTGGAAAGATTGGTTCTTTTCCATAAATGGGTTATGACGAGTTTGCAATTTTCTCCAATCTGATGCTTATTACTGGGGAAACAACAATATAATCTCGTAATGGGGTTTCATTACCGTGTATTTCTTCTTCTATGCGGGCTTAAATTCATCAATTTTAACTACCACATGTTCTAATTTATTACCAGATTTCATGGTGACTTTATCTCTTTTGTAGCAAGAGATTACATCGAGATTTCATGTGTATAATAATCTATACCAAATTGTTCTATAAGATTTCATCGAGGTCATATGTGTATAATATTCTGTACCCAATTGTTTATAAGATTACATGGAGATTTCACATGTGCATGGTATTCTGTACCAAATGCAATTTGGATGTTTTAAAATTATTGTTTATAATTAGGTAATAAGTTGGTTGGTAAAAAAAATTAGGTAATTAAATTAAATTTGTGTTTATAAAGTATTCTTTTCTCTGGCCTATTTTAGTTGTATTAATTTGATATTTGTATAAAGTATGATTTAATTATTTTATTTAAAAAATTAATAACAATTGAAAACTACGTGGTGGTTGTTGAATATTTTCATTTAGATAAAAAAAAAATTTCCAATTTAATATAAAGTTGATGAAATTGAGTAACTAAAAAGGACTAAAGGGAATAACACATAATTGTAAATCTATAAACTTGTGTCTAAAATCAAATTTGGTCAAATTCAATATAAAATATATTATCCTTTGAAATTTTTTACGATTGGTAAATAATTATCTAACTGTATTTGTGGAAAAAAAATAATAAAACACATCTAAAAAATGTAATGAATTTAGAAATATATAAAAAATTTATATAAGAAATAATAAAATAAAATAAACAAATTTGACTTAATTAAAAAGTGTGAGTTAGAGGTGAAATTTTAATATTTGACTTAAAAAAAGATATTAGTAATTAAAATGAATGTTTTAGACAAACTTTAGGCACTATAAATGTGATAATCTAAGGTTTTTTTTAAGAAAGAGAAGAGAAATGTTAAAAATTTAAATATTTTCTTACCAATCTTCGGTAAAAAATTTTAAAGATTAAAAAGCCATTTTTATAATTAATAGATTAGTTTTAGAGAGTTGCTAATTCTTATGTTAACATTCTATTTTAAATTTAATAACAAGATTTAATAAAAGAGTAATGATCACTATTTTCATAAATATGAAAAATAATTAAGTGAATAAAATAAAACTTAATGATAAAATTGTTAAAATACAAAATTTTTGGACTAATTTGAAAAATTTTATCATTTTTTTCCCTTCTATCACTATCATGTTTATAAGATTAGAGAGTTTCTTGCATGGAGGGTTAACTTTATCAAAAGAGTTTTTTTGGTAAGCTCTCTAGTCTTATAAACATGATAGTGATAATAGACCAACGACTTGTTGATTCGGATGAAAGGAATTCGGTTTTTTTTAAATAAAATCTCAAGTTTGAGTATTATAAATGGAGAAATAAGCATTGAGAGAGTTTTCTTCTTTATGGGGTCCAACTTAACTCAACTCTAGATTAATCAAAATTTAATGTAACTTCTGAATACTAGGAGATTAGAAAAAAAAAAAATAGTGATGGAAGGGAAAAAATAATAAATTTGGGATCATAAGCTATAAATAATAAATTGTATATTCATTTTATGAAGTTATAAACATGATGGTGATGGAAGGGAAAAAACTAAACAATTTATCTCCCTGATACAATTGTAACTGTCACATCATTTGAGGATACAGCATCTTGACCATCCAAATAAAAGTCTGCACCTATAGAGCTCCTTATGGAAGTATAAGTTGGTTCTCTAGGTACTGGAAGTGTTTGGGATTCTCTTTCTAGCATCAACACTACAGATTCCATTTTTGGTCTGAGTGCTGCAGAATCCTGCACACACAACATGCCTACACGTATGCATTTCATAACTTCATTAGGATTACATGAATCCCGAATGGAAGGATCAATGAGCTCCATTAGCTTATTTTCGTCCCAAAGATCCCATGCCTGAAACAAGTTGAGATTCCACAATTAGTGTTGTGTAAGAAAAGTTCAGTTTCTAATTTGAGAGTATGCTGGTCTTGGTAGAAACTGCATATATACTTACATAACCAATCAGGCTGGTGTGATCAGATGAACGAAAGCTTGTGTTCTTCCGCCCACTCACAATCTCCAGTAGTATTACACCAAAGCTATACACATCTGACTTAATTGAAAATAGGCCTTTCATTGTGTATTCAGGAGACATATAGCCACTGCAGGGTAAAATGGTTGAAAGTCAGATCTATCAAGCTGTAACATAGGTTGAGAAATAAGAGGATGGAATGCTTACTATGTGCCTACTACTCGGACTGTAGTTGCTTCATATTGATTAGAACCAAATATTCTAGCCATGCCAAAGTCTGAAATTTTTGGAGTCATTCTGCATCCAATAAAATGTTGCTAGCCTTCAAATCCCGGTGAATTATTCTAAGTCTTGAGTCCCGATGAAGGTAGAGAAGTCCTCTTGCAATGCCTTCAATAATTGCAAAGCGTTTCCCCCATTCTAGCAGTGCTTGCTTGGTTTTGTCTGTCATAGATTTCCTCTATAATTATTAAAAAATAATAAATATTATATATTTTAATAATTATATATCTTACAATATTTTTTAAATTTTAATTAATAATTAATAAAATTTATCATA